CCCCCCCCCCCCCACCCACCACACACACACACACACACACACACACACACACACCTTACATTATCCATATGATTACAAACTTGGATAAATGCAGTCTAGATTCACACTAAATCAGTGCAACTTGCAGTAATAATTGCATCCTAGGACAGAGGTCAACACATTCTGCTGCCAAAGAGTTTTTTTTTAATGCACAGTCTGGATGGGCACCATTGGCTAGGCCATCATTTACTGCCTGTCTGTAGTTGCCCCGACACACTCATCACACTACCCTACATCAGGAACACGTCAGAACTCACCACAAGACTTCTACGACCGCTGGGCATCAGAGTGGCATACAAACCCACATCAACCCTACAACAAGTGCTCACCCGAACTAAAGACCCACTCCCCACCATGGACAGGACCAATGTCATCTACAAGATCCCCTGCAGAGACTACGAGAAACACTACATCGGACAAACAGGAAGGAAACTAACAACAAGAGTACATGAACACCAACTGGCTACAAAAAGACACGACCAATACTCACTCATCTCAATCCACATGGACAAGGAGAACCACGACTTCGACTGGGACAACACCAAGATCCTGGGACAGGCTAGGCAGAGGCAAGCACGAGAATTCCTGGAAGCATGGCACTCCACGAAGCAGGCTATTAATAAACACATTGAACTCGACCCCATATACATTCCACTACGGAGGAAACCCAGAAGTGAGGCAATCCATCGCAACAGACCCAAGAGTTTAAAAACCAGGCGGGAAAACACACCGATGCTTCATCAGAGGCTGCACTGAGGATGTTACCCAGCACGGTAACGAAACGTCTGCGGAACAAAAAAACAGCTCGGCGAGCCATCCAACCTCAACAATTGATGTTGAATTTGTACAATGAACAATTTATTGCAAGTGATTGAGGTGGAGGTTATAATGTAATTTAGATTATAACTGTATAAGTACCTGAAATGGAAGAATATAAATATACAGTGCTTAGCTAACTCCAGTCAGAGGGTAAACAATAGCATAAACTCATTGGACCAATTAAATCTTTCTGTGCTCTAACCACAATGACTCTGTGATGAGACAGTAAGAACTGCCGATGTTGGAGTCAGAGATAACAGTGTAGAGCTGAATGAACACAGCAGGCCAGTAGGCATCAGAGGAACAGGAAAGCTGACGTTTCGGGTCAGGACCCTGCTTCAGAAATGGGGGAGAGGGAAGGGAGCTCTGAAATAAATAGAGCGAGGAGGAGTGGGGCTGGGGAAGGTAGGTGGGATGGTGATAGGCGAGTGCAGGTAGACAGTGGGGGAATTGGTCAGTGAGGTGCCACCACCCCCGGCACCTTTCCCTGCAGGAAGTGCTACACCTGCCCCTACACCTCCCCCTTCCCCTCTATCCAAGAACCCAAAAAAACCTTCCACATCAGACAGATGTTCACCTGCACATCCGCTAATGTGGTCTATTGTATCCGCTGTTCCTCATGTGGCTCCTCTACAACGGTGAGACTAAGCAAAGGCTCTGAGACCTCTTTGTGGAGCGCCTGCGCTCGGTTCACGACAAACAACATCTTCCCATCGCAAACCACTTCAACTCCCCCTCCCACCCCCTGGACGACATGTCCATCCTGGGCGTCCTCTAGTTTTACAACGACGCCACCTGGAAACAGAAGGAGCAGCACCTCATATTCTGCCTTGGGAGCCTACAACCCAATGGTCTCAATGTGGACTTTACTAGTTTCAAAATCTCCCCATTTCTGGCCTCATCCCATGACCAACCCTCCCTCTCATCCCACCTCCATGACCTGTCCATCTTCTCTCCCACCTATCCGCTCCACCCTCCTCACTGACCAATTTCCACCACTGCCCACCTACACTCACCTATCACCATCCCAACTACCTTCCCCAGCCCCACTCCTCCTCTCTCTATTTATTTCAGAGTTCCCATCCCCCTCCCCCATTTCTGAAGAAGCATCTCGACCCAAAAGTCAGCGTACTTGTACCCCTGATGCTGCCTGGCCTGCAGTGTTCCTCCAGCTCCACACTGTGGTATCAATGATTCTGTGATTCTTTGTTTTTACCATGACTTTGATGTTTTATAGTCAACTAAATTTTAAGATAAACTACCCTACTCAAAACACTCACATTAATGCAACATTAAAAAGCATTACTTTGTCTTTTGATTGGATCGACATTTCTGAAAGGCTAGCCGCCCTATTTAACTTTGGCTAATTTCCTAATTGCCTGCTGCCAACAAAATTGCCTGCATGGTCTTGCCACTGACACATGAGGGTTGGGACTCATTTTACTCCTATTGATGGGTATTCCCTATTTCAGGTAAACTTCCGCCATTAACTCTTTCTCTGCTTCCACTGATGTGGCATATTCTATTTTTATTTCACTTTTAAGTATGCACAGTATTTCGCTTTTGTGTTTATTCAAATTCTGGTTACTTTTCCTGGTAGAGTCCCCCTGTTCATGAAAATGTGATTCACCCACTAAACATGCTCATTGATGTAACCAGGAAATTAACAATCAATACCATGTTAAACCTACGAATGTTAGGGTTCTGTAATTTATTTTTATAGATTATAGTCCCCTATTTGTGTCAAAGTGTGGGGGTGTAGAAACATCTGTTCAGAGTCTTAAGAGATCTGATACATCTGTCACCTATGAAATTGTTCAACTGGATCTCTCTGGATTGGTCAGTATTATTATTCAGGTATTACATTCATTTAAATCAATGTTATAGTTTAAAACTGCAACCATGCTTCAGAATTCAGTTAGCTGTTAATAATGTTGCATAATGCAGGTTTTAATATGAAACACCAGAATAATTTAATAACTTAAACAAAAGCTAAGTTCCCAGACCTCAAACATTAAACTGTTTCCCCTTATGCAGATACTCGATAAGCTGTTGAGTATTTGTGCTATTTTCTGGCGTGTTTCAGATTTCCAGCATAAGCAGTATTTTCCTTTGGTCAATAATTGTGCCTCAGCAGAAGGTGATGGGGCTACCTGAGCCAGAATTTTCTGGAACTTGGCATTATCCAATCCCAATGTGCAACGTCTGTTATCCTTCCAAAAGGATTTTTCAGTTGATGGCAACTCAGTGCAGTGAGGAGGAACTGGAACTTTGGTGAATGAGAAGCAAGTGTTAGTTTGATGTCAATTTAAGTACCCAAGGAGAAAGATTGAATTCAAAGAGAAAAATCAATTGAAAAAGAAAAATAGAAGTTGGTGGGGGTGGGGGTTGCAAAGGGAAAATAAGAAAACCAATACCTTTCAATTTTTTTTTTAAGAATGCTAACAATTCAGTATACTTATGGACAAGACTCCACACAGTTAATAGTTCACTTTCTTGACCAAAGAGGTTGATCACCATATTTAATCCTGATCACATTATTAATAGATTACTTATGCTATTAATTATAAGATAATTTTCTATGATTAGTTTAATGGACAATAATTGTGTAAAAGTAGTGATTTCCTGAAAATAATGGGAATGTTGAGTGCAACTGCTGCTTTTGGAAAGCAAATTTCAGATTGATAACTAGTTTGCAACAATTCAAATTCTAGGGTTTTCCCTACCTCACCACAGGTTGTTTCACACACTTCTGGTGAAGTTGGGACTTCAACCCTGCCCTTCTGGCCCAGAGTTAGGCATATGACCTTTGCTCTACAACAGCGCTCATGGTTAGGCTTTGTATTCATTCGTAAATTCTGTGCCAATGACAGGTATCTTGTTTCAATCAAATACAGAGAGCTGTTTGACTTTCAAATGACAATTCTCACATAGTTCACGTGATTTGAATGGTATTTTTGTAACAGACACCTGCAACAATGGAAATGTTGAGCACTGTTTACTTAATTTATAGGCAACTGTACAGAATATGAGGTCATAAATTTTAGGTTTAGTAACATTTACATTTAATACTCACAGAATATTGTTTCCTGAAATTCTTCACACAATAATTCCCATTTGTATTAATGAACATTAATGAATAATTAGTGAACCAGGAAGACATTATTACTCTGGTCGATGGGTCCACTATCTAATTGAAAGTCGGTTAAATATGTACATTACTTAATTGTAAATTTTTAGACTGCAGTTCCAAATGACAGTTCCATTGTAGATGGTTCTGCTGTTATAAAACGAACTGGTGTTCAGTACAGGGA